AGTTCGGCAACTGGTGCCAAAGCTGGGCCATTCCGGCATAGCTATCCAACGGATGGCTGGAACCGTGTATGAATAAATCAATCAATCAATCAACCCCTTATCTGAAAGACAGTATTGACGGGTAGGCCGTCATGAAGAGAAAACAAAGAAAAACTAGAAAACCCGATCGTCGGGGAAAAGTATGAAGCTCAATCATTTCGTAATAACACTCTTTCTGTTTGCCGCGCATGTCCTTTTGTCTAGCTAAGGATACAGAGAGCTACTTATAGGAAAGCATGGTGCATTCATAATAGTTGCCTAAGATGTAAGGTATAAAACGAAGGCTGTCCGCATGCTATGTGACCCATGTTCACGTGAAATGGCCGCATAAAGAAAAGAGGAGAGAGAACATGCCGCCCAGCAACAACAGCGCCAAAGTAAAAAATGAGAACAAATGGGAAGTGAACAAGAAAAGAAAAAAACGTTATGTTTATAATAACTTGAACACTGAGGGATTCGAACCCTCGCCCTTTCGGACCAGCAAGGTCAACCCCATAAGTCTCAATTTTATTTGAGATATGTGGAATATCCTGAAGCTGGCGCCTTAACCGCTCGGCCAAATGTCCTTTATTTAATGAAGCACATTCATAAATATATAAATTATATAGCCTTACTATGACTGACTAAAATCTTCAACTAATGTTGGAACAATGAAAACCCCCTTGAGACATGCTTGTTGTTCGATATCTTGTTAAACCGTCTATTTGCTGTGAATTGTTGTTTTTACCAGCTTATCGATTAGGTGTATCTACAGAGCAATATAGGAGTATCTAATTTTATGAGCGGCTGGTGGCCCTGACGGCGTCCACCCAAATACCAACCCGAGTTAAGTTCAATCTCCCCATTTTCTTGAAACGCCCTATGTTGCGTCTCAACAACAACCGTCTCAAATTCCCTCCTGAGTAATGGTTCTAGTCTGTATCTGCAGAATATATCGTCTTCTGGTCGACCATGAAACCGTGCGATGTATGGCCCACGTTGTTTCTGCAGCGAGGGCGTGGATCATGCTCTAATATTCTCAAACCACCATGTTGTCGGTGGTAGTTCTAGCCCTTAGCTAATTTTAATCGCATACATATTGTTGTCGTGTGCTCCCTCTTGTCTTTTATCTGGTGTTACGTCACGTCAAGCTCATTCCTTTACACTCGCTCGCTTATCATGCTTTCTTATTTGCTCTCTGTCCTGCTGGTCGGGATGGCCGCAGCGAAGGTTCAGTTCGTGGTAAGATAGAAAACATCTGCCAAGCCGGTGATGTGCTGATCGTGGATTAGGGAATGAACATCGCGGGCTTTGACTCTGGTTGTGGTACAGATGTAGGCCACTCAGCAGCTAAGCTTTTCATCGGTATCTGATTAGAGGATAGGGAACATGTTCGCTCTCTGGTGTATCCATAGCGTCCAATGCTACCGCACAGATTACGCATTTCGTAACGGATGATCAGATGAACATCTTCAGATTCCGTAAGTGGATCAGGACGATCGTACATGAACAAAGCTAATCGGCATCAGCGGTATCATGGCAGTTCCTCACCAACGACAATGTCGGCGGCACGCTTGACGCCACCAAGTTCGGGCAGTATGATCAGGTCATGCAGTCCTGTCTGAAAACTGAGTCTTACTGCGCGATTGACATCCACAACTACGCAAGAGTGAGCAATCAAATCATTGGGCAAGGTGGTCCTACAGACGCTCAATTCGCAGACCTGTGGAGTCAGCTGGCCACAAGGTACATGGCAAATGAGAATGTTATATTCGGACTCATGAACGAGCCCCATGATGTAGACATCAACATCTGGGCCACGACCCTTCAGGCTGCTGTCACCGCTATCAGGGGAACAGGAGCGACTTCGCAAATGGTGTTGTTGCCGGGTAACGACTTCACGAGCGCCAGCCAATTCATCTCGAGCGGCTCCGGAGCTGCTTTGCTGGGTGTCACGAACCCTGATAGCTCCACCACTGGTTTGATCATGGACTTTCACAGGTATCTCGACGTAGACAATTCTGGAGAGCACGCAGTGTGTACAACGGACAGTGTAGCTGATGCATTTGCCGGAGTGGCTACCTTCCTGAGAAGCAATGGCAGGCAAGGGATTGTTAGCGAGACTGGTTCTGGAAGCAACGCATCTGTAGGCATCTACCTACTTTTACCACTTGGCACCGCTGATTATGTTCTAGTGTTTCACGGCTTTCTGCGCGCAGAATGACTTTCTGAATGCCAATTCGGATGTGTTTTTAGGATATGTTGCTTGGGCAGCAGGTGATTTCAGCTCCTCATACGTCCTCAATCTCACGCCTACTCAGCAGGACGGCAAATACTTCGACAACACGCTCACTACCCAATGCGTTATAGGACCTTGGCTCAATTCAACAGACATAGAATCTGTCACAGCATCTGGCACGCTCACTACTATCACTCAAGTATCGACATATACGAGAACAACAACGGTGACAATCGGAATTGCAACTATTTCAGGTCAATCTTTGACGACTGCTCTGTATTTGGCAAACGCAACTTCACTGCAGAGCGTTACTTCGCCTGCTGTGATAAGCGGAGTTTCCGCAGCTACATCTGTATCCGTTCAGATTACATCAGCAGCTTCTTTGGCTTCGGTATGGATGAGCTACGTTGGTTGCATGCTTGCATTTTCAGCATGTATTCTATCATAATTTGATACTACAGATACCGCTAAAGCGCGGCTCTTGAAATGTCATGTGTAGCTAGCATGACGAGAAGTCGCCCAAGCTTCGTCTAATACTGGACGTGCTAAGCTAGTGATTTACATACAAGAATACGCCAAAAAGCAAGTCAGTGGAGCGAGCCAGGAGTGCTCGTATGTCTTATATTATTACAGAAAAATGCCTCCTCCGCCGGTTGGGGAGGCTACAGTAGAAAGTGAGAGGAGCTTTCCTCTGCTTGTAGGCTCCAACAAAGAAGAGCTGTGTGTTCAGACGATGAAGGAATCAGCCCACTGCCTTGGCCCGCAGAAAGCAACCTGTAAAAGGGACTCCGAGGAAGACCTGTTGAGTGGGGTGTATAAGATGGAGGTGGTCGTGAAAGGTACAAAAAACAGGAGACAAAAGGAAATTTTGTTGTGCAACTAGAGGGTGTAAGAGCTGAGTGAAAAGTCACTGGCTGTCTCAAACCAAGGGCAACCCTCACGATTGGACAGAATCAGAACACGCCCAGTTCGACTACAGCTCCTAAGCTCCACCTAGCTCTCAGCTCAAGCACTGCTTCAGACTGTCTGCAATGATGGAAAACTACGTTTAATGGAATTCGTCCCTCAGAAAACTTTTCCCCATGTAACAAGGCTCATCGCTGAGAAAGCTACGTCTGTTGATATCTCAAATACCACCGTTTTGGTTCTTGTTGTTAATACTGGTACTTCAGATACGCCACAAATGACGGAACATGACAAGGGAGGAGACACTGTTAGCTAGCTAACAAGAGCGAGAATTGGCTAATTAGGATGGAGCAAGCTGGCCACGAAGTCGACTTTCAGCAGATGAAGGAGGCGTTCCGGCGCAAATATTTCCATGACATTTTTAAGCATCATTTCCAAAGCCATATTCAAAGTCACTTCCTCAACTTCTTCCTCGACGTCTTCCTCGACAACCTCCTTAGTATCTTTCCGAACATCTTCCTCTACACTTTCTTCGACACCTCTCACCTCCGCCTTTAACATGATATATTCAGCAAGGATCTTGTCATAATGGGTGATGCCCAGAGAACCGTTCTTGCACAAACAGCTGCTACAAATCATGTCCCAGTAGTCTGCTACCGCCCCCTGCCGTTCGAGTTTTCCCATTTGCGACATCTTTTCTGCCAACAATTCTTCCTCGATTGATTGCAAGAATTTCTTGACGCGCCCACGCTGCCACTCCATAGGTATGTCTTTTTTATAATTCGGGACGAGAACCTTTATCCCTTCAAGGTATCTTCTGTTGCATGTATGGGGCCTCTGGAAGTAAGATGCAGGCGTGATCTACCACTGTTTCTCTATAATTATAATCATATCCTGTACATCCACTTCTTCAGGGGTTTCCTACTGCCGCTGGAGATCTTTCTCGTACTCATCATATTCGTCGCGGTCCGAGGCTGGTGGTGGTGAGGGGCCGGGGTCTGCGAAGTCATCTCCTTTAGCAGGAAATGATGCACTGACTTGGCTGCTTGATTGATATAGTATAACCTCCGGGCTTTCAGATTCATCGGGCTAGGAGAGTTGCGAGGTCGCTGAGCTCCCATCATCACCCGCGTCATTCTGGTCCAAGCAAGGACGGGAGTTTCTACCCCCAAAGTCGTACTCCTTTTCTTCCTCTTGCTCATCATCCCAGGCGTATGAAGGGTCCTTCTTTTCATTCAAATCATAGAGAATTTTCGCCTCTTGATGGTCCTCAATACACTGCTTCATTATGACTATGACGACGTTTATCTTGGCCAAAAGATTCTGCTTCTGTTGCCGTAACCGGCGGACCAATTTTGGGTCCCTGGTTCGTGTAGTCAGGTAGTTGAACTTTTCGTCGCGAACCCGTGAATACTGTCTTGCGGTCTGCATCATGTCTTCCATGCATCTGAGCGAGTATGTACGTGCCTCAAATGGAATATTCGACAAGAAGTCTGCCATTTCATTAACGACCTCCCTCATTCGACCTCCCTCATTACCCGATTCTTGCGTGCGACATCAGTGTCCGGTCCAAAGCCCCACTCTATTCACCATAAAGGAGGCACGGCCCAGCATTCCATTCCTTGGGCTTCAAATCATGGGAACTCGAGAGGCACAGATCTAGAAGCAGTGTTCTGCTTGAGCCTCACCAGCTTTTCTTCGAAGCTCTGTCCCATTTTCGCATCACGATCGTGAGCGCTAGTGGTGCTCTTGTCCTGAACTAGATCAGCGCTGTATGGATCGTACCCAAATGACAGATAAGATCCCCCCCCCCAAGACGTCGGAGCCAAAGGTAAAGTGTAAGGACTAACTAGCTCTGATGTGTCCATGATCTCCGCCAAGGTCTCCTACTTCACTGCGCCCACCTCGGTCTCTGGTGCGTCCTTCTGAAGTGTTCCATCTACCTTCAGAGCGAGTAAATTCCCGAACCGATGAGGATTTCGGCATGGGAAATGATCCGCGTTTGCAATTTGATCGCTGAAGACTTGAAGGCTTCAATCTTTGCTGACGGAAGGTTTGGATGTGTGCGTTGCTGGGAAAGCCGGGTTGAAATCTGTTCTTCTCTGTGCAGTTCGTCGTGGAGATGCACCAGCTTGATATTGGCGACATAAGTCTTTCTGTCGCCATGGCGGGATAGCAAACATGCACTGTGTACAAAGATTGTGCGGATTGATAGAAGCTGAGACATGGATGTGGTTACCGGTGAATTGTGAAGATGGTGTTGTGCAGTGAGAAGTTCTGGAGTATGTGATCTTCGTAGAGAATTTTGTATTGGATGATTTTGGTGATGTGTTTGCACTACTTCTGGAGCGGTACAATATCTAGCTTCACCCTGGCAAGGTTAACTTCCTCTGCCAAGGTGGTGAATCACTCTTGTGATATTCAGATTCGCGCTGGTGCCAT